GAAAATGTGAGGATCATTTGCTCAAGAATCCATTTCTTATTCTATTGTGCTTGGCAGGCATTACTTGGCAACCCTGTAATATAATAATAACTGATAACTGATACCCGTGGGTGGTTCAAGGTGTTAGCTGCAATTTAATAATATCACACTCTGGTAAATTAATGATCCCATTTATATGTAGAACTGTCTTTAATGGTGTTAAATACCAACCTAAATGGGTAGACCTCAATGACTGAGGATGATGGGAGTTGCCACAGACTAGTGAAATCCTAAAATGAAGATTAAGAAGAGGTTGGGTTTGATCATCTTTGTCTAGCTTATGTTTGTGCATGAATGGTGTTATCACAACAGACAATACCCTATACACTTTCCCCTATGGCTAAAGAGTTACCCCTGTGTACTGCCTCTACCCAGTATGTGGTTTTAACTTACGGCTTTATCCATGCAGACAGCCTCATTACTGAGGGATGGGAATGATGGGAGTTACATGGAATGGACATTTCAGCCCTGGAGTTGTCTGTTTCTCTGTCAAGGAGGCTGAGAGTGTTTGCCTCTATTTTGACTCAGATTTTTTAAGGACTATAAAAAGTGGAACATCGTAGCTTATTGCATGATTCAAGGTGGTGTCACTGTTTAAGAAAATGTAAACTTAGCCCTCATAACGTTTGTGATGTTGGAGGAGGAAGTGAGTAGCACATCTAGACTGAAACTATTGTTGGACGTAGGAGAGAAGACTGGAAATTGCAAATAAAACTAAATTAGATGAATGTTGCATACGCAATTTTTGTCAGACATTTTAGTAGGACAGAAAAGTGGTGAAGTACTGATACTATACTTGAAAGATACAAGGAACAGAAAAAAAACATGATTTATAGTCAGATCTAGGCGGGCTATTTACTAAAGGGAGAATTGGTGGAAATTCAAAGTGAGTTTAAAGTGAATTTCAAATGTAATGCCTAAATATGGGAACTGGAAAAATTCTCCAACTCAGTAATGCTTGGCCATAAATTTTAAATTCACTTTGAATTTCCACCAATTCTCATTTTAGTAAATAGCCCTGTAAGACAGATTAGATCACTGAGTGGAAAATGTTCAGAAGTTGTTTTTTTGGGGCAAAGTTAGAGTTTAGGCGGAGGTGGTAAAATAGCTCACAGCTGCAATGAGCCTCACGTCAAACGTGCCCACATCCCGTGCACCCGTTCTTGTGTGTCTCATAATCAACATTATAAAGTTGTTATGGTTACCTCCCACAACATCAGGTGTCTGCAACAAATAAACATTCTATTTCTCATGTTTTGGTGAAAATATAGAGAACACCCTCTCCTGTTGCCCCCCAGCAAAATACCTTACATTTTATTTTCATCATGTAAGTGTTTAATGCAGAACCTGAGCATAATTTAATTTTGTACACATTTCAGATTTGGTTATACAATTATAAAGATCATTTTCAAATTTTTTTATAATGTGAGCATGTCATTATTTTATAAAACATTTTTTTTTTTTTTTTTAAGCTGCAAAAACACTAAAATATTTCTCCAACTCCACTATGGAATGTATTTTCTAAAGAGTTAATTGTGGTGAAATATATAAGCACATTTTAAAACTCTAGCCAAAAACATTGAAATTGTAAAACGCTGATTTGACCAATTTTTGCCATTTGAGTAATTTGGCCTAAATTTTATGATTTACTTGTTTCGTTTCAATTGAGTGCTTATTGAGTAGAAAGCAGGTATATCTGACCATAACATCATCCTGTTTAGGACTTTGTATATCCATGGAATTGTAAATTGGTTTTGTCCCCATCACATGATTATACTTTACTGTATAGATAAATGTATGATAATCTTTGATTTCTTATTAGGGGCTGTTGTTCACAGAACCTCATAAAGAACTGCATTCCTACAGGTGATAAGTTAAAGGATCACTATAGTGTCAGGAAAACAAACCCGTACATTCCAACAAAGTACATTCCAACAAACCCTTTTTCCTGACACTATGGCATCCTTGGGGGACCCTCACCCTCAGGGTCCCCCTTCAGCAGCATACCTTAATACAGCGTCGGGCTCCCTCGGCGCTGGGGACCTCTCCTCCCCCGCCGACGTCAGCTCCCTGAGTGGAGTGGAATGTGCATGTGCGGCAAGAGCCGCGCGCGCATTCTAACAGTCCATAGGAAAGCATTTCTCAATGCTTTCCTATTGACGTTCTGCACGCTGGAAGCGAATTTTGCATCCAGCGTTGCAGAAGCGCCTCTAGCAGCTGTCAGGAAGACAGCCGCTAGAGGTTGGATTAACCCTGCTATGTAAACATAGCAGTTTCTGTAAAACTGCTATGTTTACATGTGAAGGGTTAAAACCAGAGGGACCTGGCACCCAGACCACTTCATTGAGCTGAAGTGGTCTGGGTGACTATAGTGTCCCTTTAAGGAGCACAACTTGTATTTAAAAAGATTAGGAGTATTTTTTATGGGAGTATTGATAGGGTGCATTCCTTCATGCACAATGATGTTGGGGTGCATTCTTTACAGAAGATACGTTTCTGTGCATTCCGTACAGAGCTAATGTAGGAATGTATTATTTCACATTGGGTGATATTGAGGTGCAAGAGTTTTTGAATTTCAAGTTGGTATAGATTCCTACAGGGGTATATTCCTTCATCCCTGCATTAATTACTATGTTTCTTAGTATTTTTATTTTTTTTTAAAGAGGGTAATGGATACTTTTTTCACAGTAGATGATGTTGGGATGTTTTCCTTTTTGGGATATTGATCAGGAATATTCCTTACTGAACATGATTGCCAAATCGCAAAGATTAGGTTGATGAGACTCAAACACACAAATATTTAAGCAACCAAGCAGGAAAATAAATGACTGCATAGCTATGAATTAATTATTGGGCAAACATCTCTTACCTTCGTAACCATTGATACTTTGACAGTTATTGTTTGTAAGTTTGTTCATCTTTTTGTGTTTATGTTTTTTATGTATCTCTGACATTTAATTTAATTTCACGAGGGCTTATCTTTAGCTGAAAATTAAGATGGAGTTAACACACAATTCACTATAATTATTTGACCAGCCAGTATAACACTTAGTACTGCCATATCAGCAGATGATATAGTCTATAAAATAAATGCATACATTTTAACCAGCACAGCTCTCAGATGTAACATTTATAGAAACCTCTATTTGAATCATGTTGTGCCTTTCTTAATTGCAACTGCACCTTCAGGATGCCAATTTCGTGAGCTGGCTGTTCAAGGACTTCTGCACTACTGTGTTGACCTCTAGTGATGAAAATGTGCAAGTGTTTTTTTTTTTTTTACATAAACATCCTTACAGTGATTATATGAATATAGCATACATAAATGGTGATGTATTTATTTATATTTGCGTGGGTAGGGGGTTCACTAAGGTCCAATGTCCCTCATAAGGCAGAGTCAAATAAGAGACATTATGCTAGAATTTGAAATTACAATTCTGAGCAATTAGGTGTATGCTAAAATAAAATATTCAAACATTGTCCTAATGCCACAATAATATAGGATTCCGACTATTTCTAAATCACCAAATTCTATTCAAAGTGATTAAATGGTGGAATATTCTAAGATTTTAATTCTCCTGCCTTTCTTCAGGCGAAATTAGTAAAAAATGCAAAACTTGAAGACATGACTAAATATCCAAACATTCCTCTAATGATCCCTCTTAATAATCAATAACGCTTACACAAATACACAGACAGAGACACTCACACATACCCACTCATAATCATAGTTGCTTCTTTTTTTAGTGCAACACTGAACCATTCATCTCTTGGACTCCTGAGATAGATGGGATTTATGAGAATCCCACTCCCAGGCTGCATCTTTAATTTATGTCTACTGTCTTTAATCAGATCTCTTTCCGATAATTTACAGCTTCTGTTAAGGTCCATTACTTCCATTAATCTCAGGCAGCCCAATTATGTCCTTTGTTCCAATGAGAGGTAATTTCCTATTCAACACCATAAGCCTATAAATACACAATATTGAAAAGTCACAACCACTATAAGTATTCAACCTCTACCCTTGTTATCCAATGTCAGTTCTAAAAACAGCCTGTGGCTGCTCACTTTTGTAAGAATGTTTTTTAAGAAAAAGCCTCCCCCATCTAAAAAATGGTCCCATGGTGGGGCATCTATTAACTAGCATGGGGGAAATAGTGTCCCCCCCCAAGCTTCCACCCGAGCCCCGCGAGTAAGGGCTATGCAACTAAACGTGGGCCCCCACATGCCGCTCATGGCTGGTGGGGGCCCTAAATAGCCCTCCTAAAGGAGGGGGGCATGGGGGCTTAGGAAGTGGTGGGGACCACTGGTCCCTGACGCTTCTGTTTTTACATATTACAAGAAGGGAGCTGTGAGCCTGTAGATCCCTCCTTGTAATAAACCAAATTAACAAACAAAGAGGTCCTCGTTCATTCGTTTGAAATTTCTATTCATTCATTCGTCTTTCTGATGAATTAATGAATAGATGAAATTCCCATTCGCATGCCCAAGTGTTTTTAACTGTGCATGTGCGGGAATTTGACAGTGCTATCTAGTGTGGGCAGATGATGTGTCCCACATGGACTTCATCTACCCACACAAAGATGGCAGCGCCCAGAACCTATGTCCGGGCAGAAAATAAAGATAAAAAAATAGGTAATATGGGGGATTTAGGGGCATTTGGGGGTGACTAGAGGGTCAATTAGATGTAGTGGAGTCGGGAGGGGGGTTAAAAAAAAAACTGGATTTGGCCATGACAGTGCCGCTTTAATGTTCTGTTAGGTATACATATTAGTGTATTAAAATAAGCCATGTCTGTTCTTTATAAAACAGTATATAGTATGTATGAGGGCAGTTAAAGAAAAACCTTTACATTTTGGCAGAAAAAACACAAATTCTAGGTTTTGATAGAGGAGATAGAGAACAAAAAGCGATTTTTCTGTTTAATTTGTGTTTATTCATTACATAATAAGATGCATACAGGTAAACAATAACATGGTGCACAAACATAGCATAAATTGATCATATGCAAATAATGACATATTTAAAACAGCGATATAAACCAGACAATAACAATTCACAAGGTATTATGACAGAGCTTGCAGGAGTGTAAACATTGATGCACCTATGCACCCTAATCTGGCACACATTTCCTCACTATTTGACATAGCAATATAGTTACAAAATAGAAATAATACCAAAAATGAAATAAAATAATAAAAAGGAAAGATAGAGAACAAAACCAATAAAGTCTGCTTTGATCACGAAGGAGTATGAGAGAAAACCCTGTGGAGTGGTCAGTAACCTATAGCAGAGCTATGTAGTGTTTTGGAGAAATGGATTTCTGTAACACTGGGAGTCATCTAAACTCTGCAACAGAGGCCATTGCAAAAGATCTTAAATTTAAGATAGATTCACTTGGTCAACAAGGAGCAAGCAAGCTCGAGGCAGGGACAGTTTCATCCCACAGATTAAGTAATATTATTGCTCAAACTTAAATGCAAGAATGGGAAAATAGAATGAAAAAATGGAAACCAAGAAGTGTGGTCCTCAAGCAATTTGGGTAGAATCCAACCCATGTGTTTTGTCTGTTACAACGGATTTACGATGTCGGTGTTGAGCCAGTAGTTCTACCAGGTAGCCCAGATTTTGGAGTATTCGTCCCCACGAATGACAGACGACCAATGCAATTCTTCTAGGCCTCTAAAATTAAAGAGATGTTTTAATTTAGGAATACACAACATAAACATGAAGCCAAAACAAAATCAAATGTGTTTATATTGTGCTGGTATCTGCATTGTGCCTGGAGTGTCCAGGAGTGTTAAAATTGCTTATGTTGTGTATCTGCATAATTTGTAAGGCAATTAAATCTTTCCTGAAATTTACAAATCAATTTTGATATTTAACTTCTTTAGTTTGATACCTTTTGAATGGTAATAATGGTTAAATCCTATGTAGTTTATTCATTAAATCAGAAAAATTAAGCATTAAAAAGCAAATTGTGCATTTCTTCAGGCCAAAAATTAAAAAAAGGACAATGTAAATGATTTATCCAGTAATTGTAATGAAACTATTTGTTTACGTATTATTAATTATTGTATATTTATTATTAAAGCCTAATATTTAAAACTCTCTTGTTAATGTTTCACAATTTCCAATTTATAAATTTAACCCCTACGCAGATCCAATCTCTTTGATAACCCATGCAGTGAATGGAATGGCTTGGTGGGGTTGGGGGGTCGGGAGCTGTCATTGCCTAAACACTTTGTCTATGTCCTCATCTTTAATGAGGTTTGTGATTTTTTTACCTTTTTCAGTGTCACCAACACTTTTACATCTAAGTCAATACATTATTTGCTCAATTTATGAAATCTGTCTTTTGTTTGTTTGCACCTAAGCCCTAATTTTTTTAATACACACCACATTTTCAGAATTGCAATGGATTTGTCTGTCTTTCCAATTATTTTTGGGCAGAAACACTTTCACTAGTCTTTTTTTCCTCCACTCTAAATTCTTCTTAAGTGAAAATGTTTGTGGCAAAACCAGATGAGTTTACTAAGAAAAAAAAAGACACTTATTAGATCACTATTAGAACAATTTAATAACTATAATCAAGATAATGATCAAGTAACTGTCAGTTTTTTAGAACACTTTAATAAATATTCCCATATTGGCACCCCTAGTATAGAAGGGTTTAAAGCCGCCAAAGATGTTCCCTTCCCAAATATGAGGTCAGCTACCGAACAATCCAAACATCCAAACAGGAAAAAACACACATAAATCCCCCCAAGTACGAGACGAGGCTCTGTATTGAGGGTTAAGCAGGAATCTGTCTAATCTGGGCTACCTGCCGGGCTTCTATGCAGGTTTCCCACCAGGTGGACACTCCCCTAGGAGATCTGGTGGAAAACTGTGAAAACTTTTTACAGTAACCAATCACAGCAATACAGGTATAAACACTCCCACCTGAGCAGTATAGGACCCTCCTCTCCATCCTGGAGATAATTGGGAAGTAACTCAATTATCTCCGAAGATAGTGCATAACCTCCATTTTATAAAGGATAACAAAAATACATAAAAACACATAAGTCTAAAACTCCCGAACAGAATCCCCACATTCAACGTATCCCCAGATAGCTTGGATCTGAGTGCACAATTTTACCGAATAGCGTCAGATCCCATACACACAATTCAATCCCCATGGAGCCAAAGTCTTTCACATAGTTTATTCATTATACAAATGGGCTCCATGGGATAGCTATCTGGGGTGGCTCTGTTGGCATAGAAATGTACTGAACGGTATGGCATTCGTATGAATGGAAAACAGATGAAGGGAGGTCGGCGGCTTCAGCGGTGTTCGCATGAAAATAGCATCCGTTTTTAGTTCTATGGAATCATCGACGAACACCACTGGGTGTTCATATGTACAAGATGGCCACCGCCTCGTGTTCATTCATACGAACGACGACCACCCAGCCGACCATTCGACAATAGGAAGTGTCTGCGGTTAACCACAATGTTCTATTGAGGCCAAGAGGTTAACAAGCAGCACACTTCCCCGCTGGGTGGCCGGCCGTTCGGCAGTTCTTTCGGCAAAAGGGGAATAAATTATAGGAACTGTACTGACAGGGCAATACACGAACAAACAGATGAACCAGCATAAAATAAAACTAATTCAAAGACAGAGAGGTCTGTCACAATGTTCAAACACACTTGCGGAACTCATAGATTGAAATACTGGACAGTTCTGCGCATACAGCAGCAGTACAGCAGCTTCTTGATTAGTTACCCCGATAGGCATCCTGCAATCCTGGCACTCTTGCACTTCAATGGTTTATATTACATCACAGGCCACCCAACCATTGGCCCATGGTTAACCACCTGTTTCCAAATGTTACCTGCCAAATTTGTCATGTCTGTTTTTTTTACAACTCTTTATTGAATAAACTAGAATGTGCACAGGCAAAAAAAAAATATATTACTTTGTTTCATTTCCACTAATTATTTTTTTTTGTTCACATTTTGTTTCAGCCGGAAATGATCAATTCAGAAAGAACAGAAATTTAGAAAATTGTCACAAATGAAACAAAATTCGGACACCATTATTCCAAAGGATACTAAATTAGGAAGCTGTTTAGAAGGTAGATCCCTAATATACTTTTTTTGTACTTAATAATAGTAATCCCACAGAAGGGCACCTTATTAGGGAGCTACTAAACACAACTGCCTTAAAGGTAAAAAATTAAGAAATTAGGCTTTTTAATAGTATACTCCCTAATTTGGTATCATTACGTGGGATTGCCATCATTAAACGTACCATATTAGGGATGTATTTACTAAGCAACTGAAAAAGCTAATTTAAGAATGGCTATTATCTGTTTAGTAGATAGTTGTCATAATTAAGGACTTATCCACTAAAGCTGTTTCAAATATAGCTTCTTAGTTTGCTAATCCTGTGTATATCACACACATTCTATATGCATACTATACTGTGCAAATCACATACATTCTACTCACATGCAGCACGTGCATTTCACAGGTATATGTTATATTTGCATGCAACATATACATTATATATACATGCAGCATTAACATCCTGTATACATGAATTTGTATAGGTTATATATGCTACTTGCATACATAATGAATGTGCTGTATGTATATAGAATGCATGTGCTATATGCATATAGAATGCATATTCTACATGTATACAGAATGTGTGTGATGCATGTATATAGAATGCGTATAGAATGTGTGTGGTTGTGATATACATTGTATACCAAATTAGTGAGCTATCCACTAAACAATTGAAAAAGCAAAAATAATAAAAGCCTCTTTTAAATACATTTTTTTTAAAGTTGTGAAGTAGATAAGTCCCTAATATATAACCCTTCATTATGGCTATCCCACATACAGATAAGATAACGCATTAGGGAGCTGTCTACTAAATCAAAAAAGCCCTCTTTCTTAAATTTGCTTTCATAGTTGCTAAGTAGATAGGTTCCTAATTTGGTTCCCCTTAATTATGGAAATCCCTTGTAAGGATAGGATACCAAATTAAGGAGCTGTTTACTAAACAGGTGAAAGAACAAATATAAGAAAATCATTTTTTCTTAAATTTGTTCTTTTATTTGTTTAGTAGATAAGTCCCTAATGTGGTATACTTAATTATGGAAGACACATTTAAGAATACCAGGTTAGAGAGCTATCTACTATACAGCAAGAAGATAAAACTTGAGAAAAATTGACCTTTTACATGGTCTATTAATCCACTGGGTATTTATTGAGGTCAACTTAATTTATAATTTCCTTTCAGTTCTAGAGACTCTCTCTCTCCAAGAGTTGCCAAAGACTTGATAAAAACAAAAAGACAATCTATGTTAGTGGTTACATAAAAAGGAGACGGATCGATACCGAACGTTGGGATCAACCTAAGACAAACGTGATGTATGGCAAAAAAAAACCGCAATACAGGATCTCGAGTAATTAAAAACATTACTCAGATAACGGTCCCACTAGTCATGTGGGAAAAGCGTGCTGAGAAAACGACTAAGAAAAAAAAACACGAAAAATGAATGAAAACGAACAGCTTCAACCGAATAATGTATCATGGAAAGAAGTGGTAGGAACAAGGGAATACCCTTATATTTTCCTTTAAAAAAAAACAAAAACTTAAGAAAAATGTCTTTTTCTTATTTTTGCTGTTTATGCAGTTTAGTAGATAAGTAGATTGAAAACAAATGGATCTGAAATAATTTGTTTCAATTTGATCTGATTTCAGTCATTTTCGGTTCCTTTCAGTGTTAGTCACTTCAGAAATCTGTCCACTTCCAGATTTAACCAATTCAACCGAATGCGGACAAAATGAGCTTTAGAACTAAACAAATTGCACAAGTCTAGAATAAACCCTTGTGTATGGATCAAGAGTAAATATAGGTCTTTCTGGTGTACGTGTTGTTAATTGAGGACAGGTTTCTTCATTCTAAACCCACTGAACTGTGTCTGATAATTTTTAGAGATAAACTGCTCTAGCTTGTAGTGTGAGGTTATTTGAAAGGCGTCTGGCTCTCCTGAGTCACTGTGCTTCACTAGAAGCACAGAAATAGATCCCTTTGTCCTGGTTCTCCAGGGATTTGATTTCCAGGTGAGTTGTCTTCCCTGACTCAGTCCTGGTCATTATAAACTTGTCTTTGTCAATCCCTTTCTCATTCTCAGGTGTTTGGCCTAGGAGACTCCAGGCTATAAGCTCTAGTCCTTGACCATTCCTCTGTAGATACCAGTACATATAGTTGTGATCTGTCGTCTGAGTGCAGTTCATGTGTACCACGGAACCTAACTCCCTCATGATTGTTCTGGGCCACTGATTAATGGTGGATGTCTGTGCCAGACCTGAAACATATGAACAGCAGGTTATATTAAAAAATGTTGCATTCTTACGAACAAATGGCAAGGTGAGATGAATGTTTAATGTGCAGACACTGGATTTAGAGTCACAAAGCATTTACTAAGGATAATTATTTTCTATAACATAGAGTCGGAGATATTCACTAAACAGTAGGTTTTGTTGAGTCGATAATTATCTTGGGCTTTTCAGTGGTTGGAGAGTTTCTGAGTTGGCTATTTTTAGTCTCACTATTTAGTAAATAAATCCAAAAGTGCTAACATTACATATTTCTATTCTGTGAAGATTGTCCTCCAGAATTTTTTATATATTGTCTGTCCCTATTATATTACCACCCAATACTCACAAATGGGAATTAGAAGACTGAAGAGACATCTCTGTATAAGGGACATGGTGAAACTGAGATGTCACTGGCAATAACACTATACGCAGTCTGTTACAGGAAGTTATGACAGCACCTGCAAGGGTAGTGAGGTTAACCTCTTCCTGGCCTAGATTTAGTGATACAAATGGTTCCTGAGGAACTAGAGGATGGAATGATAAAAATGTCATTAGACTTTACATTCCTGTGTGATCGAGGTCAGGGTCCTGGCATAAAATTATTTGGACTCTGCGAGGACGCCCTATAATTCCATAAATTACACAGCATATCGAGTCCTTATTGTAGATGTTGGGTGTGCATGTTTGGTTATTCTTTAAATTACCATGCTCATCCAATGACAGAAGGAATAATGTGATGGGAACTTATTTCAGTAATCTGGTTTAAAAAGGAATTGCAATATTGTGTCAATTGTTTAGTCACCTAATATCTATTCTGTCTCTGCAATGAAATTAGAAAAAGAAGGCATCCCGAACAGTCCCAATCTCAATAAGGTCATCCTTTATTTATGATGTCAGATAAATGGGTGATGTTTTGGCCACACAAGACCTTTAACAAAAACAAGAGAGAACACCCCTTGACTTGACAACCACAAAATTAAAAGTTAACCATTAAAATGCAGTACTTAGAAAAAGGATACTCATGAGATAACTGGAGAACACTATAAATACAAAAAGTTAACTACTAGTGTGTGACTACCTATGTGTGTGTGTAAAAATGTTGGCTTACTAAATATGCTCATAGATGTGATTAATTAACTTTGTGTGGATATGTGAGAGTAAGAGAGTAGCTAATAAGGGGTGTGAGACAGAGAGTAACTAACTTATAGTGTGTGTAAGAGAGTACCTAATAATGTGTGAGAGAGAGATTAGATAATAAAGTGTGTGAGACAGACAATAGCTAATAAAGCGTGTGAGAGAGTAGCTAGCAAGGTTTGTGAGAGAGTAGCTAATAAGCTGCATGAGACAGAGAGTACCTAATCAGGTGTGTGAGAGAGTAGCTAATAAGGTGTGTGAGACAGAGATTAATTAATAAAGTGTACAATACAGACAGTAGCTAAGAAAGTGTGTAAGAGAGTAGCTAACAAGGTGTGTGAGAGAGTAGCTAATAAGCTGCATGAGACAGAGAGTACATAATCAGGTTGTGTGAGAGAGTAGCTAATAAGCTGCATGAGACAGAGAGTACATAATCAGGTTGTGTGAGAGTGTAGCTAATAAACTGCGTGAGACAGAGAGTACATAATCAGGTGTGTGAGAGATTAGCTAATAAACTGCGTGAGACAGAGAGTACATAATCAGGTGTGTGAGAGATTAGCTAATAAAGTGTGTGATACAGACAGCAGCTAATAAAGTGTGTGAGAAAGTAGCTAATAAGGTATGTGTGAGAGAGTTCCCAATGAGGTTTGAGTGTATGTCACTCAAGTATCAATTTATTTGGATGTGGATTAGAAGGAATTTGATTAGAGTGAATTGATGCACATATCTAGTGCACATTACATGTATACCGTATGTACTGTACAATACACATATCACGTATTACTCACACATATACAAATACAAATTAACTACTCACATAAATGTTATTACACATATTACACACATATGTATACAAACACACACATATTACAAATAATTGTTTGAGGCATGATAGTAGATGGGGCGGGTGGGGGGGGGGGATTTGCATACAATATTATTCACTACAGTGGGAATTCAAACAAAATATTTTTTTTTTATAAAATAGTCCAAAGCATCTGAACTAAAAACATAGCTGCGTTTTTTCAATGCTGGCTATTTTGGTCGAAAATAAAAAAAAATACTTTGAATTAGCTAGAATTTTAACAAATCACACATTAATGAGCATCTGTGATGGACATGGCTAGGCTGAAACAACAGTGAAATCTAAATTTGTATTACCATTCTAGGAGTATTTCAGGAGCATATAGAACCGATGCAGATGGATTGGGATAGGCTCCCATTTCAATTTCGTTTGGAAATATCTTCTGAATGGTTACAAATTGCTCACATTTTATTAAAAAAAAAATATGTAAAAAGTTGCTAATGTTTTATGCAGTGTTTTTCTGGTTCAATAAATATTTTGCCAATGGACAGATAAAAAGTCTCATCTCAAAGACCCATCTTTGAAAAGCTGCACAGTTTATGTTAATGGCACTAATTATAATTCACATACCAGCATATTACGGTAATCTAGAGAGCGACATTTTTCCAAATGTTATGTTGTCCTAAAAGTAAATTGTCAATTCACCATCTAGTGAGTAAACCCTGCGTGTGAATGGAGTGCAGATATAAATTGTGTTGGAGTCCATGTTGATGGTCACTGAGGTTTCTTCATTCTTAAACCCCCTTAACTGCGTCTACATATTGTGAGAAGTGAATACTCTGTCAACTACTATATCATATAGCATGAGGTTATTTGAAAGGCTTCTGGCTGTCCTGAGCCACTGTGCATCACTAGAAGCACAGAAATAGATCCCTTTATCCTGATTCTTCACGGATTTGATTTCCAGTTGAGTCTTCTTCACTGAATCAGTCATGGTTATTATAAACTTATCTTTGTCAATTCCATTTTCGTACTGAGGTGTTTGGTCTCGGAAACGCCAGGCCATAAGCTCTAGTCCCTGGCCATTCCTTTGTAGATACCAGTACATATAGTCATGGTCTGTCGTCTGAGTACAGTTCATATGTACATCAGAATCTAACTCTCTCATGAGTGCTCTGGGCCACTGAGTAATGGTGGATGTCTGCGCCAGACCTGAAACAATATAAGAAGATTATAAGCAATATTTGTTCCTTCTTTTGAACACTTTGAAAGGTAAATAATAATGTTTAGCATGCAGATACTAGATCCACACTCATCCACAAATAAATAGAATTTGAAATGAACAATATTTGTGGCATTAACATTGAGTGGGCTATTCACTAAATATTGTGCTGTCATGGGTTTCTAATTTTCCTTGATAGATATTACCAGATCTGATGCGTATTACATACATATTTCTGCATATGGTCTGTCCCTGTTATTACCACCCAGTACTCACTGATGGGAATTAGAAGACAGAAGAGACATTTCTGTATAAGGGACATGCTGACGCTGAGACCTCACTGGCAATAACACTATACATAGTCTGACACAGGAAGTCACACCTGCAAGGGTAGCAAGTTTAACCTCTTCCTGGCCTTCATACAATGGTGTGGATGTGGATGCTTTAGAAGAAAAAGAAAATGGAGTGATAAAACCTCATCAGACTCCACCTTCTTGCCAGTCAAGGTCTAGGCCATTGCTAAAATCATTTGGACCTTACCTGGCAAACCTACTTTCATTCATAATTGATCAATAGTTTGGAAATGCTGTCTGTGTTTTGGTTCACATCCATGAACAGCTGGAATAATGTGATGGGTTTGGTTTAAGTACCTTGTTGAAAATGGTAAGAATTGGTACAATATTTTTCAGGAGAGTTAACCATTAAAATGTTGCATCTGGAAAGAGGACACAAACCAAATGAGTCGAGAACATTCTAAACACACCAGGATGGACATAAATATGCGGATATGAAAAGCAAACACGTCAGTTCCAAGCAGGGATAGCTATTAAAAGGATTCACCTGTCAAGAGGAGAGTCGAAATAGGACTGGAGAACCAACATGAACAGAAACATCAAAGCATAGACATCAAACTCACAGACAGTATACATTATATCATCACATGAACCCCACATATTTATCAAAGGGAACTACAATAAGAAAACTGAGCTTGTTTTTACAGTGAGAAACTCCCCATGTGTTAAGTAGTTTGGGAAATTCAGTTCACTCAGAATCACAATTCAGCAGAATGTGGTCAGATTGGGGTTTGGCTGAATTTCTGAATTTCCAACCAAACTGTACACAAATTCTGAACCAACCAAATAGCCAGAGAGACAGGCATTTCAGCTGATTTGAAATTCATATTACTGTGCTTACTGCTAGTGTAAGAGTTTTTTTTTTTTTTCTGTTTTTAAAGGGACACTGTTGGCACCTTTTTTTTTCTAAATTTTAGGGCTTCCTCAACAATTTAAATCCACATAAACACACACATGGCATGTTGAGATAAAACTCTGGGATGGATAATAAAGGAATTATTATATTTCCTATTTATTATTTGATGAACAATAATAATTAGAGTGAGGTTGCTCATAATACAACCTCCCATAGGGACTATAACAATAACTAATTTAATTTACTCTTGAGTGATGCATGGTTCAACCAAAAGATATGATGTGGTAAAAACATAAATATCTAGTATGGTGTGATCAGCTGAAAATCTCCTGCAGATTCCTCAACTTCTATTGAACGGTCAGCCCTTAGATCTGAGTATTACATCGCTGACCTCTAGTGGTGAAAATGTGCAAGAGCATAGATGTTTTATAGAAGGAATATGTCATCATTTGAGTAATTCATAAAGAGCTGAATGCTTCTGCAATTTGCACAATTTAAGAAGGAATCACAGTCCTAACCTGAAATTGTATTTTGAGGTCAAATTTGGAGATTTGCAATGACTGTGCAATTACAATTAAAATTCTTTTCCACCTAAACTATACAAATTTAGATCAAACACCTGGATTTGGATCTGCATTGTGTATTCATATTAGATTATTATAGAGCTAAATACATCCCCAGAGGGTTCAGGGTTAGGAATGCGCCTACTATCAGTTGACAGAACCTTGCTTTTTGCAAGCGTTGGAAGAACATTGCTAATAAATGCTTGTTAGACTGGATGGTCATTGTGGTTGAGGAAGTGGGTAAAGAACTGACCCAAGTAAAACAAGCTATTTAAACTTTTGAATCACAGCACTCCAGTTACCTTCAACCAATGAACTAATGATTAAATTACAGGATGATATACAAAAATATCAAAATGATCTTATTCGATTCAAGAAGCAGAAGCTTGAAAAGGTGAATCATGATTAAAAGTATCATCAGGTATGCCGATGGCTGAGTGGTACTAAACCAGATAGATAAACATATCCTAGATTTAGACCACAGATACGTAGACCCTCCTTTCAAACTATCAATGTAAGTTTGGGGGAATCAGCATCTGATGCTGATAAAAAATAAAGAGGAACAACGAACATCCAAAACAGTAAACGATCCGCCTGGGGTATCCGGAATGCCTATACAAGGCAAAAGAGGAACAACCCTACAGAGGGGTCAGAAAACTACAAGAAATACAAAAAATACAAACATCAGCGCAAAACCCCCAGCACAAAGGAGATGACTGCAATATTCAAACTGTCTGATAAGGAGCTCAATTACAATCATCTAGCAGTCCTTAACAAAGGACTTGCGTTTGTTCCTGTATGTAAACCAGACCCTTTCCAAGTTGCAGTGGAGATGTACAAACGCCAGAGAATTTTATATAGCAATGAAATTAGAAAAGAATCTGGTCCCACAACAGGACCATCTATTTGAATCTAGAAACAAAAAATACATCAGCAGTAATTAAATCCTTTACAAAAGCTGTACAGAAAGATGCATCAAATATGTCTAAAACACCTCCTAAACATAGATACAATCTCACTAAAGAAGAAAAATCTGCTTTAGTCACCCAGATCAGTTCAGGGGTTCAGGAATTTCCTGGAAGTCTTAATTTTGTCCGACTGCACGCATGGTCCCATGCCCAAAACAGTTCCAGAGAATCAGGGCTTATGGTCGGTCTAGTTCGATAGTTTAAAAACTGAACAAACTAACGAACATAGTTAATGTTCTTACCCTGGAGCTTTATTCCCTTGTTCGTGGGAATGTTTCCACTGAACAGTGCCTTTCTAAGTGTTATAGAACCGAACGCAGGTGATCATGGAAGTCCAGCGGTGTTCGGGAGTTTCAGTGTCTGAAAATAGTTCCATGAACTCGATGACCAAACACAGCTGCCTGCGTTCATGCGAACAAGATTGCCACCACCTCGTGGTCGTTCATAGGAAATGCGGCCACCCAGACAAATGCTTAGAACACTGTGGTGGAAATCGATACAAAGTGTCGAACAAGCTCCAGGGTGGTCAGCTGTTCGACCGGCTGTTCGGTTCCCGAACCATATAGTCCAAATACACGAACAGAGATTTTTACATTATATTTCACAGGGTCCATAGTCTGTGGGCAGGAGGCTGGCAAGCAGGCTCTTCCAGGGGCTCATGGCAAACTCATGTAAAAAGGGGAGTTTGTCACAACCTGTATATAAGAACAAAATCCTTAAATATTTGCATTTAATTGACTATATCGTCTTAATTTGGAAATTGACAATTTGAAGCAATTTCCACCGCAGTATTCTAAGTGTTCGTCTAGGTGGCCGTACTTCCTATGAATGACCACTAGGTGGTGGCCATCTTGTTTGCACAAACACAGGCAGCAGTGTTTGGTCATCAAGTTCATGGAACTATCTTCGGACACTGAAACTCACGAACACAGCTGGACTTCCATGATCATCTGCGTTAGGTTCCACAACACTTAAAAAAGTGCTGTTCAGTGGAAACATTCCGACGAACAAGGGGAACAAGCTCCAGACTATTGACTATTTTCGGTAGTTTGTTCATTTTAAAACTACCGAACTAGACCAACCGCAAGCCCTGATTCTCTGGAACTGTTTTGGGCATGGGACCAGGATTGCGGTCAGTCAAAATTAAGACTTCCAGGAAATTACTGAACCCCTGAACTGATCTGGGTGATTTTTGGATATGTTGGTCACCCAGATAGGGGATGTAACTTTTAGGGTGTTTTATATTTTAAGGTATTTTTTGGGTGTTTGAAAAAAAAAATTGTGTTTTTGTGACTGGAGATAATTGAGTTTAATACAGTGCTTGACTCAATTATCTCCCAGGAATAGGGGAGGGATTATTATACTTGCTTGCCTGAGATCATCTTCGAGAGGAAAGCACTGGGAGGCTTATACTGTTGGATGGAAAAAAGCCATGCTGTGCCAATCAGATGGTCTATCTGATCAGTGAGAAAGCTGCCGATTTGCTCAAACTAACCCAATTCTGACTGTATTTGACTTTATGAAGAAGCAAAATTGCCATTGCATTAAGGATTTTGTCCCAGGATTTTGTCCATCTGGACAAAATGAAGTGTTTAGTGAGTTAACCTGTGTGTGTGAGAGAAAGTGACTAAGAAGGTTTGTGAGAGTATGAATGCATGTGTTGCTAAATACATATTTGTTGATATTTAACACATTTGTTACATATACATACATTTTATCACACTTTCATGCAGTGGCACAACCAGAGATATGGTCACCAGGGGTAGAAGAAAATGTTGTGCCCCCATATACCAATCCCCCAGCCCCAATTCATCATATATCTCTGGCTCTAAGGCTAATTTTCTTTTCTACCATACCCTTACATTTTGTGTCACGTTATCCCACTCCCTCTATCATGTAAGCTCTTTGAGCAGGGCCCTCAATTCCTCTGTTCCTGTGTGTCCAACTCATCTGGTTACAAATACTTCTCTGTTAGTCCACCCATTGCACAGTGCTACGGAACTTGTTGGCACTTTATAAATAATAATAATAATTCAACACAAGTAAAGATTACTGTAATTGTTAATAAAGAGCATTACATTTTATTTAATGAATAAACACTTCTTAATAGAAAAAAATAACTGGTGACAAATGTAAGCATGCCTTGTGTGTTTGTGTGTAGTGTTGGCATTTGAATGTAGTTGTATGTTGGTATGTACTGTTGCTATTTGAAAGCAGTGGTGTACTTGTGTTTAGTGTTTGTGTTTGAATGTGTATGTATGTAGAGTTGTTTTTTTGTTTGCCAGGATGCATGCACATACACTGTCATGCACATGCATGCTGAAACACACACAGACACATACTCACACACACACATACTGATACACACAGATACATACACACACTGACACAGATACATAGTGACTCATACACACGCAGATACATACACAAACTAATACGCACATATATATGCTGACACATGCATACACACTGACACATACAGATACACACTGACTCATACAAACACAGATACATGCACACACTAACACACTCAGATGCATATTGACTCATACACACACAGATATACACTGGCTGTGAATTGTTCAATTTTTTTTTGCTTTTTTTGTAGAAAAAAAAAAGTTATTTTATTAATTTTTTTGCTTAATGTTTTATAGATATTCAATTATTATTTTTGTTTCAATGAGATACAAAGTATTATCCCTTTGGTTATTTTACCTCTAATTAAACCTTCTGAAACTAGATGTCAAAATATGTATTTATAACATGAGATATCATAACACATGGGACCAATACTTGTATTTGTATATGTATTGGTCCTATGTGTTATGATATCTCATGTTATAAATACATATTTTGACATCTAGTTTCAGATGCATTATATACTAGATGTATATGCTAGTCCAGAATTTTTTTTTGGCTGTTGCTTTATATCATTGATATTGTGAGTTTTTTTGCTGTGTTGAACATATTTAAAGAGATATCTAATTATTGTGGACTCATTTAATAAAGATATTTTTTTTATGTATATACTTATGGCTGTGCTCCTTACCTGATCTATACTTGGAACTTATTTTGGCCTTTTGGGAATAGGGCCTTATGTGAGTGAGCACCCACTATTATGCTTCTAAATCTCTTAGGAGATCGGTTAGATTAACATTTAGAGTGTGCCTACCTTGTTTAATTTTTATTATCATACAAACACAGATACATACACACACTAGCACACTCAGATGCACATTGACTCATACACACACAGATATACACTGGCTGTGAATTGTTAAAAAAAAATTTGTTTTGTTTTTTTGTAGAAAAAAGTTATTTTAGTAATTTATTTTGCTTAATGTTTTAAAGATGTTCAATTATTATTTTTGTTGCAATGAGATACAAAGTATTATCTCTTTGGTTATTTTACCTCTAATTAAACCTGTCCCGAGGGGATTTAAAAACCTAAAAAGTTTCTCCAAGAACTATGACAACATCAGTTAAATGTAATGGTCCTGGTGCCTGGAGTCTATATGTGCAGAATTACACCATGAAGTACAGCACATATGGCATTTAACCCTTTTGCTGCTGGAGGTGTAAGCATCATGGCAGCATCATGGGGCGACATTGGCTAATATCAATTATGTGGCTAATTCAATGCACAGAGTATAGTTCGTTATCTGAGAGTCGTCAGCTGAAGCTCTCAGCCAGTAAATGGTTGATGAGATCAACTTCTGGGTTCTGCACAACACCAGCCATAGAAGACCCCGGTGCCTGGCAGAGACCAAGGAGAAAGGGTAAACCATTGCAAAATAGATTTCTCCATTATTGGGAAATGGGGCCAGGTAGTGGTTATGGTGCTTAGAGTAACTCTTTAACAGGGTATTTTTCTATTTGACCTGATTTTTTAACATTTTCAAGCTCTATTATGTTGTCCTAAATATTGCAGTCAGTTATTCATTCACTATTTAGCAAATAAACTCATCTGTATGAATCGAGTGCAAATTTGGGTCATATTACGGTCCATGACCAGGTTTCTTCATTCTAAACCCACTGAATTGTGTCTGATAATTTGTTAGAGATAAACTGCTCTTGTTTGTGGTGTGAGGTTATTGGAAAGGCTTCTGTCTCCCCTGAGTCACTGTGCATCTCTTGTAGCACAGAAATAGATCCCTTCATCTTGATTCTTCACGGATTTGATTTCCAGTTGAGTCCTCTTCGCTGAATCAGTCATGGTCATTATAAACCTATCTTTGTCAATTCCATTCTCATGCTCGGGTGTTTGGTCTCGGATACACCAGGATATGAGCTCTAGTCCCTGACCATTCCTCTGTAGATACCAATACATAAAGTCGTGGTCTGTCGTCTGAGTGCAGTTCATGTGTACATCGGAATCTAACTTGTGCATAAGTACTCTGGGCCACTGATTAATGGTGGATGCCCGTGCCAGACCTGAAATAATATGAATAGCACATTGTATCCAATATTTCTGCTGTTTTAGGAATATTTTGTAGTTGGCTGTAATGTAATACAGATACTAGATTCAGGTACAGACAGAGGCAAAAAGTATTTTCTTTGGATAAATTTATATTTTTGCAATAAAACATTTCTGGGCTGCTCATTAAACAGAGATTTTGAGAGAATCACCTTCCTGGACAACCAAACTTCTAAGAAATATTTGAAGGCTTTTTTCTGACTTCCCTAGTTGGTCTAAGATTTGCAAATCCAATGCTGATGCACCGCAGCTCACTATTTTACTATAATTTTGCTAAAATATAGATTCTTCTGACAGGATGATTACACTCCTAATATTATCCTGCACAATTAAGACACATATTAACATTTAGAGACGTTAATTTAATTTAAATAGAAGCATTGTCTGACTTTGCACATATTAATCTCATGCGTACTACATATATATGTCTGCATGTGTTCTGTCCCTGTTATTGTCACTCAATACTCACAGATATGAATTAGAAGGCAGAAGAGACATCTCTGTATAAGGGACATGGTGACACTGATACATTACTGACAATAGCACTGTACACAGTCTGACGCAGCAAGTCATAGGCACATCTGCAAATGTAGTGAGGTTAACCTCTTCCTGTCCTAGATTTTAAGATCCGGGGTAAATACCATATGGAATGATAAAGCATTATCAAACTACACTATTTTGCATGATCAAGGCCAGTGTCCCAGCTAAAATAATTTGCAACTATATATATATACATTATGCTTATATATGATTTTATAATGCATAACATTTAGAATCCTGGTTGCATGGATGTGTACGTGTCTTGATTTTACTTCATCCGAGAACGAAATGGAATTTGATGGGTGTTTGCTTGAAACACCTCATTCAGAGATAGTACAAAGTTATTCGTTATACTAATTTATATTTCCTATTCAATATAAAACATTAGACACATACTCCATGACTTGACACCCACAGCAGAGTTAGCCATTAAAATGCTCCATCTAGAAATAGGAGACTCAAGGAACATGGCTGAACTCTGCAATATTGCTATTGGGGTTTTCCTAGTTTTTATCTGGACATCCATATTAACTCATGCAGTTATAATGAGTTATACACACACTTTTCCTACCTTTTCCCTTCCATCCCAACCAGGCTCAGAGTGTGCATATGCACTCAGAGATAGGCAAACAATTCGTGAGTCTATGAGAACAATTTGATTGGACCGCGATTGGGCACTGCTGACATCAGATGGGCGTGAAAGGCAGTACTGGGATGTTTGACTGGCAGTGAATTAAAGGTGAGTTTAACCCTTTATTTTGTATCTGGTACATAATGCGTAGTGTGGCATTATAGACTAAACACACTATCAGAGAAAAGATTAGAGTAACCATTTAACATTCCTTCTCTGTAAGAAAAGGAACCTAATTAAGGGATTTTGTTCAATAAATTTTTAATTGTGACAAATGCAAATCTGATTTGCAAAATGTAGGCTGAAAAAACTGATAGGCTAAATTTTGCCATTCAACTTTCAATTCAGTATAATTTATCATGTTCCAATTCTTTTTGGTAAACAAAAATTCACAATTTGGTGAATAACTTTGGAAATAGGTATGTGATGCTATATGTTGAGATAGGACGCTGTAGAGCATGGATTATAAAGCAGTTATTAGATTTTCCTTCTGTTGATTCTGGCCTCACCTTTGAGCCTCACATCCAGTCTGTTACCAAATCCTGTCAATTCTACCTTAAAATCATTGCCAGCATCCGCCCCTTTCTTACACAAGATGCTACCAAGGAGCTTGTGCATGGTCTAGTAATCTCTTGCATGGATTATTGTAACTCTCTCATAATTGGTCTTCCCAGTGGCCATACAGTAGCTACAGTCTGTAATGAAAGCTGCCTCCAGACTGATTTTCCTCTCCAGTCACTCCTCTCACACCTTACATTGGCTTCCTGTATCCTATAGGAGTCAATTCAAACTACTAATCCATCACTATATAGCATTGAACAATTCTAGCCCCTCTTATATCTCTTCACAGATCCATAGGTAGCCCCCTTCTTGGTCTCTCCGCTCTGTCCATGACCTTCTCCTGTCCGCTGCTACCACTTGGAGGGCCAATTCAGAACTTCTCTCGGGTGGCTCCCTTCCTTTGGAATTACCTGCCTACCACCATCAGACTATCCCATAGTCTTCAATTGTTTACAAAGTGCCCTTTAGAACCCATCTCTTTAGGAAAGCTTATGGCCTCCCAGAGTAACCTCAACCTCACATACCTGTCCCTTGCTCTCTCTAACAGTGCATCACTCTACTCTCTCCTCCAGCTCTGCTTCACTCCTACCTTGCTTGATTGCTATCTCCTGTCCTATTGTGTTTTATACCCCACCTCCACTAGACTGTAATTCCGTTTCAGCATGGTCCTCTTCAACCTATTGTTCCTATAACAGTTTGTAATTGTATAATTTATTGTTAAATCTATCCCTCTTGTAATATTGTTAAGGGCTATGGAATTTGTTGGCTCCATATAAATGCCAATAATAATAATAATAATACGATAACAGGAGAGTATGGCTACCAATAATGCATTCTCCCTATTACGGTTGTAATGATTACTAATTTCCCTTGTGCTTGATTAATGTATGACCATGCTATAAGATATGTTTTTAATATATAAATCACTAGAATTATATGATCATCTGATCCAGTTTCCTTTATATGGATTTTCTAATTCTCCTCAGCTGTCAGCCCGTGGTTTAGAGAACTACAGTGCTGACCTCTAGTGATGAAAATGTACAAGTGCAAAGAATTTTATAAATGGAAAGTTGTGTCTGTTGAAGTTATTCCTGAGGTCTGAATGCTCCCCATATTGTAACATTGGGGTAAAATGTAAAAACCTGAAATTGCATGTTTCTTATGTCTCAATATAATAATGCAAGTGATATAGCATGTTGCTAATTAAACATTAGTGATATGTGAATAATTTTCTAACAACCTAGTTTTCTACACCACCCTTACCTTTTGTGTCACTATAACCCACTCCATCTAGCATGTAAGCTCATTGAGCAGGGCTCTCAATACCTCTGTCCCGGTGTGTTTAACTTGTCTGGTTACAAATACACCCATTGTACACCCAAAATATATACATAAGCATAAACCCACTCATGTACATTTTATAGGACTAAATACTCTGAATAAAATTACAAACGCAACACTGCCCCCATCTTTCATGAGCTGAATTAAAAGATCTAAGACTTTTACTATGTACACAAAAGGCCTATTTCTCTCGAATATTGTTCACAAATCTGTCTAAATCTGTGTTAGTAAGCACTTCTCCTTTGCCAAGATAATCCATCCACCTCACAGGTGTGACATATCAAGATGCTGATTAGACAGCATGATTATTGCACAGGTGTGCCTTAGGCTGGCCACAATAAAAGGCCACTCTAAAATGTGCAGTTTTATCACACAGCACAATGCCACAGATCTCGCAAGTTTTGAGGGAGCGTGCAATTGGCATGCTGACTGCAGGAATGTCCACCAGAGCTTTTGCCCATGAATTGAATGTTCAATTCTCTACCACAAGCCGTCTCCAAAGGCATTTCAGAGAATTTGGCAGTACATTAAACCAGCCTCACAACCACAGACCATGTGTAACCACACCAGTCCAGGACCTCCACATCCAGCATCTTCACCTCCAAGATCGTCTGAGACCAGCCACCCAGACAGCTGCTGCAACAATCGGTTTGCATAACCAAAGAATTTCTGCACATCTGGGTCTCGATCTGACTGCAGTTCGTCGTTGTAACTGACTTGAGTGGACAAATGCTCACATTTGATGGTGTCTTGCACTTTGGAGAGGTGTTCTCTTCACGGATGAACCCCCGGTATTCACAGTACAGGGCACATGGCAGACAGCGTGTATGGTGTCATGTGGCTGAGCGGTTTGCTGATGTCAACATTGTGGATCGATTGGCCCATGGTGGAGGTTGGGTTATGGTATGGGTAGGTGTATTTTATGGACAATGAACACAGGTGCATTTTATTTTTGGCATTTTGAATGCACAGAGATACCGTGGCGAGGCTAATTGTTGTGCGATTCATCATCTCATGTTGCTGCATGATAATGCATGGCCCCATGTTGCAAGGATCTGTACACAATTCCTGGAAGCTGAAAACATTCCAGTTCTTGCATGGCCAGCATACTCACCGGACATGTCACCCATTGAGCATGTTTGGAATGCTCTGGATCGGCGTACACAGCAGCGTGTTCCAGGTCCTGCCAATATTCAGCAACTTCGCACAGCCATTGAAGAGGAGTGGGCCAACATTCCACAGGCCACAATCAACAACCAGATCAACTCTATGTAAAGGAGATATGTTGCACTGCATGAGACAAATGGTGGTCACACCAGATACTGACTGGTTTTTGGACCCCCCCCCCAGGCCCCGCCAGACCTGCTTGGATCCACCCAATACAGTAAAACTGCACATTTTAGAGTGGCCTTTTATTGTGGCCAGCCTAAGGCACACCTGTGCAATAATCATGCTCTCTAATCAGCATCTTGATATGACACACCTGTGAGGTGGATTATCTTGGCAAAGGAGAAGTGCTTACTAACACAGATTTAGACAGATTTGTGAACAATATTTGAGAGAAATAGACCTTTTGTGTACATAGCAAAAGTCTTAGATCTTTGAGTTCAACTCATGAAAAATGGGGGCAAAAACAAAAGTGTTGCGTTTATAATTTTGTTCAGTGTATATATATATAAACAAAAAATGAGTAACCTTGCACTCTGACTCACAGTCTTGTCACCCTGTGCTCGATAGCACTAAATTGTATATCAGGTAGTAAATTATCAGCACAGGCTGTCGTGAGGAAAGTTCCTATTTGGAACTGAAACGTTGGCTGTTTGTGACACTTTTTCAAGTAAAAACGTTTTTCTGAAATTCTTGATATGTATATGTATATATATATATATATATATATATATATATATAAATATATATATATATATATATATATATATAAAAATATATATATATATATATATATTTATATATATATATATTTATATATATATATGTGTGTGTGTGTTAAAGGATATTTGTCTGTTTATGTGTGTATGTATTATTTGTGTATGTTTGTGACTAAATACAGAAGTTATGAGTGCCTAGGTAATTAGGAATGTGAGCTCCTAAAAATGTATGAGAATGTGTGTGTCCAGTTAGGTCTGTGTGCGTGAGTATGGCTTCTTATGTACATGAGTGTGTGATTAGATATGTTTGTGAGTATGAATTGGACTGCAGATGTTATACACGAAAGTCCAAGTAGCCCCATACCAAGTAGTGCATTCAGACTGCAAAACCTAGACATTGTTCCTGCTTTTCAGAAATGTTTGGACTAAATCTGAATTTGGTCCAGATTTGAGACAGACCGAATGCTGTGGCTTGAAATCTCTAAAATGTTTATCTAACTATTGCAATTAGGTGTCCATTCACTGTTTAGTGAATAAACCCATGTAGTGCAAATATAGGATGTGTTGGAGTCCATGCTGATAGTGTTTCTTCTTTTTGAAACACGCTGAACTGTGTCTTCTAGTTTGTGAGCGATAAACACCCTGTAAACTGCTCTAGCTCATTGCGTGAAGTTATTGGAAAGGCTTCTGGCTGCCCTGAGTCACTGTGCATCACTAGAAGCACAAAAATAGATCCCTTCATCCTGATTCTTCACAGATTTGATTTCCAGTTGAGTCCTCTTTGCTGAATCAGTCCTGGTCATTATAAACCTGTCTTTGTAAATATCATTCTCGTACTCGGGTGTTTGGTCACGGAGATACCGGGCTATAAGCTCTAGTCCTTGACCATTCCTCTGTAGATACCAGTACATATATTCGTGGTCTGTTGTCTGAGTGCAGTTCATGTGTACCGTTGAACCTAATTCTCTCATGATTGTTCTGGGCCACTGATTAATGGTGGATGTCTGTGCCAGACCTGAAACGATACAAAAAGAAGATTATATGCAATATCACAGCATTTCTGACTGATTGGAAACATCTGGAAACATCTAAACAGTTTGTGTACGGACTTGTTAATCACATTTCCAGATAACAAACTCCTAACAAATGGTCGAAGATGATCTTCTGTCTTGACTTTTTTGGTCTCTGCAAATGTGGGATTCCTTTGCTGATGCACCATAGCTCATTTATTAATAAATAATCACCCAAGTAAGTATAATAATTAAAGTTTTTTTTTTATTTAAATTTAAATATTCTCCAATTAGGGTAAATTATCTCCCAATACTCACTGACGGGAATTAGAAGGCAGAAGAGACATCTCTGTATGAGGGACATGGTGACACTGAGACCTCACTGACAATAACATTACACACAAACTTACACAGGAAGTCACAGACACACCTGCAAGTGTAGTGAGGTTAACCTCTTCCGGGATTTCATTCGGTGATGGATGCATCAGGAAGAAATAGGAGATGGAATGATAAAGTCTTCAGACATCCAACTGCAACAAGGCCTCTTCACGTTGTTATATATAGACTACTTGTTTTCAAGTGATTTAGCTTAGTAAATTAACTCTTTGGGATTGTTTTCAACCTTGTTTGTAAATAGGTGCTGTAATTTGTCACTGTTAACAACGGTATTTGCACTCAGCATAAATTACATCTTGAAGATGTTTCCACTCATCAGTGGTGAGTTCATTTTAGTTCTGCCCATACTCAGTGAAGATGAGTATCTTTCAGAAATGTTTGTACATGGCATTTCTGTGTTTACTCTGGAGGTCTCTGACTGTAGCAGCTCAAAGTTTCCTTAAGAACTTTTTTTGCTAAGTCCATATCACAGAAGGTGTCCTTCACCCTCCCTGGATCTGAGGAATATATGCCATTTATCCGTTTTTATATTCACATATTGCATCCAAGGATGAGATTTAAACATAACACATTATTACTAGGTTTGGCATTGAGTTTTACTGATTTTTATATTGAAACCTATCCCAGTGCCATTTGGTATTTGTGATACATTTATGTTTCTTTTATTTATTTTTTTACAATTTGTGCGTATTGCTGTCCTAGTAGTGTATGTTGTATTGATAGTGTTTTCTCATTATCTCACTTATGGGTTAGTTCTTAGCAGTAAACAATATTCAGAAGTAAATTTTAAAACATTCAACATTGTGCATTAACTTCACTCTGGCTGGTCCTGTCTATCTTATTGTGTCACACTATAGAGATCTTAGAGGAATTAAAGAAATAAATAATGTGATTTGGCGAGGTCGTACAAGTTGTGGTGGGCTTGGTAAGTGTAAGTTCTAGTCTTGGTGCTGTGGGATCACAGACTAGGTGTTGCTGGTTAATTTGCGGTAGTAAACGTAGCTCTACCCCTAAATTTATACTTTTGCGAGACCAATAGGTCTCACTAAACTGTAGCCAGCCAGAGTTGTCAAACTTCAAAAAAGGAGTGGGGGGAGGGGGGAGGAAGGCTCATTGGCCATACAGTAAAGTGGCCCTTTCCCTTTTTTTGTTGTTGAAAAAACAGTGCTACAGAGCATGTATTTTGCATAGTTATACATGGGATAAACAATATTGGGGTAATCTAAACCTTCAGAGTGGACAGACATTCTGTCAGATAGTTGCTTGGGGGATAAGGTAGTGAGAGTGAGCGGCGCGATCATTAAACACTTTACGCTGGATGAGTTCAATAGCAGAAAACCCCTGGTAATGGTTGTCAATTGTAGCTATGAGAACAGAAACTTCGGGGATTAACAGAGCTAAGGTCCGGTATGCGGAGAGAGGTGGGGGGGGGATGGGGGAAGGGTGGATAGACATTTTAGGTTGGTTGGTTAGGAGTTGGTTTTCTGGAGGTCTAGTCAGCTTTTAGGAAGTGTAGCCAAGGGCTCCAGGTGCGTTCATAGGTACTATAGGAGTGTGACCTTGAGTAGTGTATTTCCTCTAAAAGGCGTATGGAGTCAACCTTATTGATCCATGTCCGGATAGTGGGTGCCTCTGTTTTTTTCCAGTGGCTAGGGATGAGGGCGTTTGCCGCTGTGAGTAGGTGGCTGGTTAGGGATCTTGTGTTCTTGGGAACCGATGGAGGGAGGAGGAGGAAGAGTACAATTTCTGGGGATTGGGGCAGTTGAACGTTGGTGATGGTATGAATCATCTTAATGATTTTGGACCAGTAGGTACAGATGACTGGACATGACCACCATATGTGGCTTGGGGTTCCCCGAGGGTGGTGACATCTCCAACACTGCGCGGAGGCATGTGGGAAGATTGTGTTTATTTTGGAAGGAGTGAGGTGCCACCTGGATAGTCGTTTAAAGTTCCCTTCCTGTACGTGCGTGCTCATGCTTGTCTTGTGTACGTTGGAGAATATGTGTTTCCAATCTGTTTGCGTTAGGGAGAGGTTGAGCTCGGATTCCCAGGATTTTGTGTATTTGGGTAGGACGGGTGGTATTTCCGTTTGCATTAGTTTGTATAGGATTGAGAGGTGCTTCGTTTTGATATCGCTATTGATAGTGTTTTCTGTGCTGGTAGTGTGTGACGTATTGTTAATGTGTCCTGCCTTGACAGTGTGTGTTGTATTGGTAGTATGTTATGTTGTGGTACTTTGTATTGTATTGGCAGTGTGTGTTGTACTGGTAATATGTCCTTCCCTAGTAGTGTATGTTGTGTTGGTAGTGTTTTGTTAGCTGGTAATGTGTGACGTCTTGATAGTGCGTGTGGTTCTGGCAGAATGTTGGAAGTCTATTCTGTATTTATAATGTGTGCTTTCCTGGTAGTGTATGCTATGTTGATAGTGTGTATTGTGCTATGAGTGTGCTCTGTACTGATAGTGTACACTGTATAGGTAGTGTCCTCTGTGCTGGCAAAGTATACTGTATAGGTAGTGTATGCTGTATACATAATGTGCATTGTGCTTGCAGTGTACATTGTATAGGTAGTGTGCTCTGTGCTGGAAGTGTATGCTGTATGGGTAGTGTGCTCTGTTCTGGCAGTGTACGCTGTATAGGTAGTGAGCTCTGTATTGGCAGTGTATGCTGTATAGGTAGTGTATGCTGTATAGGTAATGTGCTCTGTATTGGCAGTGTATGCTGTATAGGTAGTGTGCTCTGTGCTGGAAGTGTATGCTGTATGGGTTGTGTGCTCTGTGCTGGCAGTGTATGCTGTATAGGCTGTGTGCTCTGTGATGGCAGTGTACACTATATTGGTAGTGTTGCTGTGCTGGTAGTGTATGCTGTATATGTAGTGTACTCTGTGCTGGCTGTGTATGCTGTATAGGTAGTGTATGCTGTATAGGCAGTGTTCTTTGTGCTGGCAATGTATGCTGTATAGGTTGTGAATGCTGTATAGGTAGTGTGCTCTGTGCTGGCAGTGTATGCTTTATAGGTAGTATTTGCTGTATAGGTAGTGTGCTCTGTCCTGGCAGTGTACGCTGTATAGGTAGTGTGCTTTGTATTGGCAGTGTATGCTGTATAGGTAGTGTATGCTGTATAGGTAGTGTGCTCTGTTCTGGCAGTGTACGCTGTATAGGTAGTGTGCTCTGTATTGGCAGTGTATGCTGTATAGGTAGTGTATGCTGTATAGGTAATGTGCTCTGTACTGGCAGTGTACGCTGTATAGGTAGTGTGCTCTGTATTGGCAGTGTATGCTGTATAGGTAGTGTATGCTGTATAGGTAATGTGCTCTGTATTGGCAGTGTATGCTGTATAGGTAGTGTGCTCTGTGCTGGAAGTGTATGCTGTATGGGTTGTGTGCTCTGTGCTGGCAGTGTACACTATATTGGTAGTGTTGCTGTGCTGGTAGTGTATGCTGTATATGTAGTGTACTCTGTGCTGACAGTGTATGCTGTATAGGTAGTGTATGCTGTATAGGCAGTGTTCTTTGTGCTGGCAATGTATGCTGTATAGGTTGTGAATGCTGTATAGGTAGTGTGCTCTTTGCTGGCTGTATATGCTGTATAGGTAGTGTATGCTATATAGGTAGTGTGCTCTGTGCTGGCCATGTGTGCTGTATAGGTTGTGAATGCTGTATAGGTAGTGTGCTCTGTGCTGGCAATGTATGCTGTATAGGTAGTGTATGCTGTATAGGTAATGTGATCTGTATTGGCAGTGTATGCTGTATAGGTAGTGTCGCTGTGCTGGCAGTGTATGCTGTATATGTAGTGTGCTCTGTGCTGACAGCGTATGCTGTATAGGTAGTGTATGCTGTATAGGTAGTGTATGCTGTATAGGCAGTGTTCTTTGTGCTGGCCGTGTATGCTGTATAGGTAGTTTATGCTGTATAGGCAATGTGCTCTGTACTGGCAGTGTATGCTGTATAGGTAGTGTCGCTGTGCTGGCAGCGTATGCTGTATATGTAGTGTGCTCTGTGCTGACAGTGTATTCTGTATAGTTATTGTATGCTGTATAGGCAGTGCTCTCTGTGCTGGCAATGTATGCTGTATAGGTTGTGAATGCTGTATAGGTAGTGTGCTCTTTGCTGGCTGTGTATGCTGTATAGGTAGTGTATGCTATATAGGTAGTGTGCTCTGTGCTGGCCATGTGTGCTGTATAGGTTGTGAATGCTGTATAGGTAGTGTGCTCTGTGCTGGCAGTGTATGCTGTATAAGTAGTGTATGCTGTGTAGGTAGTTTGCTCTGTGCTAGTAGTAGGAAGTCAGGAGAGAGGTGCTGGGAGATGCTGGGGGTTTGTAGAGAGGTGCTGGGGTCTGCATTGAGGCTGCTGGGGCCAGAGGGAGCACTGAACGACCCGTTCCAAATTCTCAGCAGCTTCCACGGCAGACAGACTCCTGCTCCCCCTCACACACACTCAGCACCCCCCCCCCCACACACACAGCACCTCTCTGACACACACAGCACCCCTCACACAAAGCACCTTTCACACACACACATAGCACTCCTCACACACACAGCACCCCTGACACGAAGCACCCATGACACAAAGCACCCCTCACACACACTCCGCACCCCTCACACACACCCAGCACCCCTCACACACTCAGCACCCCTGGCACAAAGCGACACACACATATACAGCACCCATCACATACTCAGCACCCCTCACACACACAGCACCCTTCACACATACAGCACCCCTCACACACACAGCACCCCTCACACACACACAGCACCCTTCACACACACTGCACCCTTCACACACACTGCACCACTTACACACACCCACACTGCATCCCCCCACACACAGCACCCTTCACACACTGCACCCCTCACACACACACACACACACACTGCATCCCTCTTACTCACACACTGCACCTCTCTCACACACACAGCACCCCTACACACAAACACATACACTGCACCCCTCATATCAGTCTGTATGTATATAGCAGTCTGTGTGTGTGTGTGTGTGTGTTCAGCAGTCTCTCTGTGTGTGTTCAGCAGTGTGTATGTATTCAGCAATCTGTATGTGTGTATTCAGCAGTCTGTATGTATTCACCAGTCTGTGTGTGTGTGTGTATTCAGCAGCCTGTGTGCATTCAGCAGTCTGTGTATGTATGCAGCATTCTGTGTGTATTCAGCAGTCTGTGTGTGTGTGTATACAGCAGTGTCTATGTGTGTGTTTGTGTGTGTGCGCATTCAGTGTAGTGTGTGTATGTACTCAGTAGTCTGTCTGTATGTATTCAGCAGTCTGTGTGTGTGTGCGTATTCAGCAGCCTGTGTGCATTCAGCAGTCTGTGTATGTATTCAGCATTCTGTGTGTATTCAGCAGTCTGTGTGTGTGTGTGTGTATTCAGCAGTCTCTATGTGTGTGTTTGTGTGTGTGCGCATCCAGGGTTCAACTTCCAGTGGGGAACCTCTCTTTCCCCAGAGAGCAGAAACAGGAACAAGCTCTTAGCAGAGCTTAGCGATCATACCCTGGGGAGTATAGTGATTATAGCAATCCCCAGAGTGTAGTTCTCCAATTCCCCAAACATGAGCCAAGGCTTCAAGAAAGGTACAAGATGATCTGATTTTAATTACCTCACACTGGCTTTTATGCAAGTCCCCATGCAAGGGGACATCCCACAGGGTGGGACACAGTTCAACCAATCATTTACAGGAAAACCGTAAAACACACCCAGCCCCAACATACAATCCCTCCCCTCTGCCTGTGATATAATTACTGAACACAATGGGTTAATGTAATTTATCACAGGCAGGAAACATACACTTTTTACACATATACTGTAACTTTAAAAATATGCATCATATTCACATAAAACATGCATATTCAGAATCAGCATACTTTAAATATAAACATAACCAAAATTCAGCCAATTCCATCCAGGGGTTAAAAAGTTAGCTGGAGGTCCCTTTTTGACCGACCTCAAGCACATTTTCATGCCCAAAAGAGTTCCATAGATTTGGGCTGTGCGGTCGGTCTATTTCAGGCTGAAAAAACGACGAATGGGACTTAGTCTCTGCGGCTGCAAAATCATTGTGGGAGAAGGTAAGGCTCAGCGGTGTTCGCGGAACTGTGTTGCCGATTTCAGTTCCAAGGATTTGGCTGCACATACCGCTGACCGCATTGAATAAAAAAAGATGGCTGCCGCCACGTGTTTGTTTGCACGAACTGCGGCCCCCCCAGCGTTCGGCAATTTACCTACAGCAGGCTCCCAGCCTGGGAGGTAAATTGCCTGCACACTTCCACTTCTAGGTGGTCCGTCTGTGTGGTACCTGGTTCAGTAAGCCCCATTTACTGAACCAAGTGGGGAGAAAGCCAGGAACACGGTATATTAACAGTCTGGGGACACTGGGGACATAGTCTTAAAGGGGCATTGTCACACAAAGTCTCAATATGTCCCCAGACTGTTCTTAAAGGACCAGCAGCAGCACAATATAAATCCATTAGTCCAAATCTTGTATTTAAAGGGCCAAACCTCCCAGGGACCATAATCACATGGCAAAAGGCTGGCAAGTAGTCCTCTCCAGGCATAAGTGGCGAGGTTAATTTTGCCACAGTATGTATTACATTTGTTGGAGGTACCTATAAATATAAACTTAATTTAATTGATAATTAAACTTTTTTTTCCTGTGAGTTGTGTAGGAAGGGCCCCAGTGCACTGCTTTGCTCGGGGGCCCATAACGCTGTTAAGATGGTACTGCTTGTGTGTGTCAGTGAGTTTGCATTTAGTGAGGTGGTGTGTTTTAGTGAGCTTCTATTTAGTGAGCATATGTGTGTCAGTGAACTTCTATTTAGTGAGCATATGTGTGTCAGTGAACTTGTATTTAGTGAGCATGTGTGTAACAGTGAGCTTGTCTGAAGTAAGGTTGTGTGTGTCACTGAGCTTGTCTGTTTGTGAACTAATGTATGTTCTATTGTATAGACCAAACTATTTGACTGAATAAAATCTGCAGAAGGTCCTTCTATAGTTGTACTTGTACTGACAGTGTCACCACTGATACCCAACTCACCTAAAAATGATAAAATGTACCTGTCTGATATAGATGCTGTGCTGCAAATGTATATTGCATACCAAGTATGCATGGTACTGTTGGTGGGATCTTGGTGTTATAAAGGTCTACTCAGTAAAGAGAGAATTGCAGGGTATTGAGATGGAAATTTCAAACTTTAGGTCGAAATAGTGCAGCTGAATGGGATAATTTTTCCAACTCGTCTACTTTGGCCATAAATTTAAAATTACCATCTCAATTCCCTGTAATTCTCTACTTATTGAGTAGACCCTGTAATCTGCACTATGATAAGTAGACGGAGATTAATTATGTGGGTTGGCCAGAGTGGGTGAAGCGTTGTGGCAGTGGGTGTGGTAAATTCTCAAGGTAGTAATTAATAGCTGTGCTGCAGAGTGTCCCTCGAAATTTTTTTTCAAATGTTGGCAACTATGAGATAGTGTTTCTACTGGCATTTTATGTTGTCCTGGCTATGTAACTATATAATGATGTGACAATGTATGTGTTTTCTGTCTGTCATTGCAGGCAATGCTTTTGTAATGTCAGTGCATTGCAGTTTTTGTAGTGAGATATCCTGCACCTGCTCCTCTGTGCGGCTCCAAGCACAGTAATAGACACTGGTATCGTTCACACCAATTTTCTCAATGTTCAGATTGAATTGGGACTGGCTATTTCTTTCTGCTGTGAAATGAGTGTGTTCAGGCTGATTCACTGAGCCCATTCCTAAAGAATAACAAACAAACTCCAGGGCCCCCCCACTTAGCCCCTGTCTGTACCAGTACATGTAGGGATCGCCAGCATTGGTCACATTACATGTCAGGGACACCTTGTCTCCTGGGTGAGCAATGTGAGTGAGAGGATACTGTTGGATGGTCTGAGTCAGGCTGGAGGGTAGTGTGAGGAAAAGGAGGTGTACTCTCACTGTGAGTGCGAGGAGTGAGCGAGAGGCTGCTTTCATGATCACTGTCATAAGATGACTTCTTCCTTCTGCTCTAATACAAAATAGGTGTCTGTCACATGACATTCTGTTATACACTCACCCAGCTGTCACGTGCCAACTTGTCCCTTTATTGTTGTGTCATATACACCACTTTCCTTTTACCACACTGTCTCTTTGTCAGTCTCTCCTGTGCTTTGAAGTCTGTCCCTGTGTGATTCCACCTGCCCCTTTTTCACAGTGGCACTGTGTCATTCTGTCTGTCCCTGCAGTCTGTCCCAGTGTCATGTTGTCTGTCACTGTGTCACTCTGTCTGTCCCTGCAGTGTGTCCCAGTGTCATGTTGTCTTTCACTCTGTCTGTCCCTGCAGTATACGCCAATGTTAAGTTGCCTTTTACTGTATAACTCGGTCTGTAAGTCCCTCTGTTGGTCCCTGGGTCACTCCATCTATCTGGTATCCTGCAGACTGTCTCTGTATCAGCCTATCTGTTCCTATGTCCTACTGTATAGTCCTGTCACTCTGTCTAGAGTCACTCTATCTGTCCCTATCTGTATCAGTCTCTTCCTGTCACTCTATCTGTTCTTTATCAGATAGTAAATGTCACTGTCACAGAGAGAAGGGCACTGGGGGTATGGAAGTCCTCCCCTCCCCCGACAACTTTGTGGGGGTCAGATCCTTTGCAGCCATGGTGTTCTGATGTTTTACATTGTAAGAAAAGTGAAATATACATTTTTAGTAGGCGACATGTATCATCTCTGCATAGGTCTTAAAACTCTGACTCAAAAAGAGTAGGAAAAAATTGAAATATTTAGAAAAATATAGCATAATATTTGTTTGATACATTTTTTTTGTATCAATAAATTGTTTCTATATTGATTTGTTTCAAAGTATGAGGCCATGTCGCTTAAATAAACTACAGAACAAAATCTAAAACTTGTTTTCTTTTTCAAATTGTGTAATATTTCTCAAAGTAAAAAAAACAAAAAAAAACCTCACCTCATACCTGATATATCTAGACACATATGATAAGGTGCCAAATCATGTGGACTGCAATATGCTCTTCATAGTTTTAGGAAAAGGTTCTCCAACCACATAATTTGGGGATTCCTATGTAAGTGAATAATGTTTGCTAATATCTGGGTAAAAAAGATTACCGTCCACTGCTGAAACTACCTTTTCAATTATGCTATTCTGGCTTTATGTGATCTTTCTTACTGTAGTATCTGAATAATGATAACGAGGCTCGGTTTTAGTGCCCCGGGCAACATCATTATTAAAAAAGCTAAGTAAAAGGGAATAAAGGACAGAGCTCTGATACATTGCATAAAGTATATTTTTATCGCATAATTTAACAAATAGAAAAAAAAAATACTACTAACATCTCTATTCCTTTTATCTACTGACTGAGAAACCTCCCTAAATTTGCCTTTATTATTTGTTCACTAACCTGCAGTATAATTCTAAATAAAAGTAAATGTTTTAGTAATTGTTTAATCTTGACTTTTTCTTATTATCTACATCTAAATAGATACCAAATACACCCAAGCACACTTTGCAATAATAGTTCTAATAGAAATAATAAAACGTATTATTATCATCGATAGATAATTTATTACTGATTGAAATTTAGCATATTATGTTATATGCTTTAAAAAAATCTTATTCAATCACATACATCACGCTCCATGCTTTCTAATTGTATCATAGTGACACCTAGTGGATAATAGTGGAATTATTACTGAAGAATTTAAATGTAGAACTACTCTATGCATGTATCATTTTTATCAATACCATTTAAAAATGATGAAGTTTGGGATACAAAATAAAAAAAACTCATGCATTGGAAATTGGAAACCTTGCCTGTGACAAGATAATCAAAAATGTTCTAGCATTAAATAAATTGGCTTTTAATTTAAATGCTGTTTTGGCTTACACTTTGCAAATCCCTTGTTACGTCGACAACATTCCCAGTTTAGCTGTTTGCCCTATTTGTTTGTCAGATAGAAACACTGATATACCCAGTAGTAAATGAGAAAATGAGAACGTGAGGTTTAAAAGATGCTGTTGAATAAATTATCTATAAAGAAAGTATAACTATAATTCAGACAAGATTGTTGAGTTTTACTAATTTAGTTTGTACCATTCTAATAAATATTGAAAGTTGTTCAGTTTAAGACATGCATATTTTTATTGTGTTATACACGATATTTATTTTTCACATAAGAGCTATTTCTTGTGTAATTAATTTTAAGAGTGTGTTTTCTTGTGAGTTTAAGGAACACTACAGCGCTATGAATACAAATATTCCCAACGCTATAGTGACCTAGTCACCGTTTAGGTGAGAGGGCCTCCGCTGCCAGGTTTAATAAGGTATTTACTTATCTTCTCTCCTTGCAGCGCCGGTGTCATTGGGGAAGCTCGGCATTTTTAGCTGAGGACATAAAGATCAAAGATCTCAGCCAATCCAATGCTTTCACGTAGCAAAGAATTGGGAGGCGGGTGCGCATGCATGGCAAATGCTGCGCTGCTCCAGTAATACGATTTCTCTGAGACTCCACTATATTGTGGAAGCACCTCTTTTGACTGGCTGAGTAAACTTTGAAGAAATAGTAAATTTAATAGCAAACTTTTACAGGGTAATTACTAAAGAGAGAAATTATAGCCAGACTGAAAAAATGCTCCCAGTCATCTATGCTTCCAGTTCAGGTAGTTTGAGTGACCACCCCCACTTTAGTAAACAACTCTGTTTGTATTATTTTGTGTTTAAATCGAGAGAGTACCTTTTTAATGAGATCAAAGTAGAGTCACTGTTAAATAATAAAGTCAAATAAAACTGAAATACTTTTAGATCAGGGGTGCCCAAAATGTAGATCCCCGAACGGTTTAAAACTACAACTTCCATGATGCTTTGTCATTTTAAAGGCATTCTAAAGGCATGCAAATGATCATGGGAGTTGTAGTTTTACTATATCTGGGATCTACCTTTAAGACACCCGTGCTGTAGATTCACCACTGTGTTATATAGTGTTTTAATAAGTAGAGTTACATGGAAGAATTTTTGAACCACGCTTCTCTTCTGTTACGGGAGAATAAAGATATTGTTGAGTGCTGATATGTTTTGAACTTAATTTTAACAATCAACACTTAGATGTTTTTTTAATAAAAAATTAGGCATTTATAAAATTCTAACAATAACTTTTATATACATACTCAGCTAAATGACATACATTTCAACGGTAACAGAAATTATCAATAGTGACAGTAAAATCAAAGTTCCATCAATGCAGCTGAATTTGATATTTATAGTCTGCTGTAAACATGACACGTAAGAAAAAATCTGATATAACCTGTAGGTGCAAATATATACTTAAACTTTAGCTCAATCACAGCGTAAAGGTAAAGTTTTTTGTTCTGTATGTGCCACATTTTGCCTCCATTTCTTTTTTTGTTACTAAATTGCTTACAGTACAATAAACAGAAAATGATCCCTAGAGGTCTGTTTGTACACAGTTGCAAGTTGATAAAATGTAGGCTGTGATATCCAATTTATTCTCCAATTCAATTAAGTTTGAGATATGTGTTGCATATCTCTCTAAGTGTACAGTTTAGTGAATATTCTGTTTTGCGTTTTTTTGTTTGTCTATTTTCTGTTAGCTTGAGTACCAGGGTGTAACAGTAGGTGCAGATCCTTTATTGCTAGGATGGTCAAAACGCTCACATGTTAATTCACTAAAATAAGAATTGTCAGAAATTCTAAATAAATTTCAAATTTAATTCCAAATTAGCCGAACTGGAAAAATTCAGCAATTATTTAACTTCTGCCACTTTGGCCTTAAATTTGAAATTTAATTTGAATTCACTCTGGATTCTCTATGATTTTACAAATCAATACAAATTTGAAATTCACTTTCAAATCATTTTAGATTTCCTACAGTTCTCACTTTTAAGGACCACTTTAGTGCCAGGAAAACATACCCCCACTCTCAGGGTCCCACTCCCGTGGCGCTGAAGGTGGAGTAAGGGGTTAATCCTATAATCCTATGGACGCTGGCGTCTTCTCACTGTGAAAATCACAGTGAGAAGCTCAGAAGCGCCTCTAGCGGCTGTCAGTGAGACAGCCGCTAGAGGCTGGATTAACCCATAGGTAAACATAGAAGTTTCTCTGAAACTGCTATTTTTACAGCAAAAAGGGTTAAACCTAGCTGGACCTGGCACCCAGACCACTTCATTGAGCTGAAGTGTTCTGTGTGCCTATAGTGGTCCTTTAAGAAATACTATTGTATGTTATTGAAGACATGTAGTTCCCATGCTGCTTTGCCAGACCTTAGGAGATTTAGTTTGACAACAGCTGGGTCAATCTTTGTTCAATTTTGCTTTAGTGTGTCCCTGTACCAAATAAAATACATACTGGATTATTTACTAGGGAGTTTATGCACTGTGCAGCAAAATGTAATTAACCGAAAACAAAATTGCCAAATTTAGGATAAATTGCCAAACTATGACTTTAACAGAGGCAGATAATTTTTAAAATTTTACAGTTTGGTTTTCAATTTGGTTTTCAATTTACTAAAAATGTATTGTTTAGTAAATAAACTCTTACAAGTGGAAAAAAACCCAACAAATTTCACTTTATATTGTTTGTGACTGAATTTAAAACAAATAATTAAAAGTTTAATATTTTTTATCCCATCCCAACTATAGCCCTAACATTAATTGCTTGCAATGTTATTGAAAGCCAAGATGTACTTACATAGAATAATACAATATGTACAAAACCACATCTGATATATATTTCCTCTGTGTTGAGAGCACTTATATAATGCAATTGTTTTTGAATGTGGTCATAGTTTAGTGGTGGTTACATTATTAATGAACAAATAGTAACATATTAGGCTATGGATCCCAAACAGAAAACTATGGTTCCAATACTTAATATGAATTATAATACACTGAACAGTGCTCATTGCTGCCCACTACTGGGAGAGAAAGGTTTCTGTAGCAGTGCATGGGGACACATCTCATATGCCCTAGCCTAGAACACCAACATGTTTAATAATTAGGTGATACAAATGTATTTGCAAGACAAGGACATTACATACAATACATTTAACAGACAATGCCGTAATCATTTCAAATGTGGCAGGAGACAACATTGAGCTAAATGTATAGTTGCCATTTTATTAAATACTGCCAGTGCCATCACATGTGTTGTGTAATGTATTATATGAATGGACAGACAGAGCTACAAACCACTCGAGAGAACAAGACCGGGCATCATTAATGAATATCCTGCAGCAATTTCTTGCACGGCACATTTACATTGTACCACTTCTTATCATGTTGCGTTGTGATTTAATCCGTGTAACTACCTTCCCAAGAGTCAGTCCATCATGCCTTTACTTGTATCCCTAAATTAGTTACACTCTCCACAAATATGTTTTGACATGAGCTAAGGTCTCACTGTCTATGTATCAATGATAATCACTGTCTTCTCCTCTGCACTGCTATGCCAGCCAATGTCTTTTTTATCAGTGTTAATGTCTAAGTTAATATCTGTGTCTCATTATCTGTTTGAATGTCCATGTGTCAGTCAAAGTCACCTCCACTTCATCAACGTGTCAGTAGAGTCCTTCTCTTTGTGTGTGACATAGTCAGTCAATGTATCCTCGCTTATGTCAATTAATCAGTCACTAACTACTCATCTGTGTCAGCCAAATGTGTCAGTCAATGTCCCATATGCGGCGATGATGCAGAAAACAAAATCATTTATCTCCCAGTCAGCCGATGTCTACTCATCAGAGTTACATGTTAACCAGTCTTTTCTCATGAGTGTCCATGTGTTAGTTAAATGGATACTCTAAGCAGTTTTGAAATGGTTGTGGTGTTTGATGTCTCTTGGTACTATCCTATTGTTCACTGTAAATCCAACCTAGATGATGAATGTCCATATGTTGGTTCTCCCTCCCAAACCCTCTGCCACTAGAGGATATGAGTAATATGAAGGTTATTGTTCTACGAGCTCATACCAGGGATGAGCAGCAGTACTATGCTGAGAGCCATCAACTGCAACATGCAAAACATTAGTCTGAGCAGCAGAGAGAGGGTGGGAACCCAGTGACTCTCATTCAGTGTCAAACCAATTTAAAACAGTTTAACATTGAACAGTGGGCCAGCCCCAGGTGACCCCAGGTACCATTAACACTTTAATAAGATGAAGTGAATTTGGTGCCTAGAATATCTTTTTGAAGTCCTCCTGAAATAAATCCCAACAATAGTCAATACCTTTTCATCGATGCTTTATTCAATAATTTATCACTTGTGTCCCTATGTTGATCACCTTGACTGTTGGTTAATGCCTTGTAAAATTGTATTGCCTTCATGTTTATGCCATGATGTTGTCCATTACTCTGCATCCTGTGTGTAAGTCATATTGTTGTTGCATCTGATTTTGTTTCTCAGACTTCAACGGGCTCTAGAGGCTGAAGGTGAGCTTTCAAGAGCTGGATGCTGCTCATGATTTTCTTCTGGTGTCCAGAAAGTGTTACTCCAATAAGCCTGATATCTCTAAAGAGTGGGAGAGAGAGAAGAAATAATAAAGGTTAGATATTGGAGGAGAGACAGAAAAGACACCTAAAAAATGGTCATCATTAATTAAAGAACTATAGTCTTTTTACACAAAGAAGAAAGGTCTCACATTTACCAAAGGCTGTACCACACAAAGACACATGCATGGATAGTGTAATTAAGATAAACAGGTAAGTAACATGAAAGAAAAATAATTACTCTGCAGTAAGGCGTGAAATAATTTCTAGTGTTGTATAACCAGCTTTGTCAAAGTTTTCCTTGTATTTTTCCATCTTGATTGCTTCAAGCCACTCATGTGGAGAGGACAGAGAAGGGAAGTCCGGCTGGCAGTTACTGAGGAGTGGCTGTGATGGTCTGATGAGAGAAAGAAATGGATGAAAGATCATAGTATCATAACAGACTATTTTAGGTGTTTTCTTATGCTTTTTGAATTTATAAAATTAAATTAGGTGGTCTGTTGGATTTGTTGACTAACGAGGTTATTCACTAAACATGAGAATTGCAGGAAATTGAAACTGAATTTTAAATGTGAAGCCAAAAATGACCTTTAATTTGAAATTCACTTTGCCCTGCAATGCTCACTATGGTAAATAACCTTGTAAAAAGACAAAAACAAATTCCTAATTAATTGCTATTTGTGTGTTAGGTATCTGCTGCAAATTTATTGAAAAAGCAAGCTATGGTTTTTCTTTTTTTATTGTTTTCTTTTCAAAAGATGACTGATTTGGCTTAAGTGAATAATCAATAGATTTGTGTTAAAGGACCACTATAGTGCCAGGAAAACATACTCGTTTTCCTGGCACTATAGTGCCCTGAAGGTGCCCCCACCCTCAGGGACCCCCTCCCTCTGGGGGGAGGAAGGGGTTGAACTTACCTCTTTCTCCAGCGCCGGGCGGGGAGCTCTCCTCCTCCTTTCCGCCTCCTCTCCTCCTCTTCGGCTGAATGCACGGCAAGAGCCGGGCGCGCATTCCGCCAGTCTCATAGGAAACCATTCTCAATGATTTCCTATGGATGTTGGCATCTTCTCACTGTGAAAATCACAGTGAGAAGCGTGGAAGCGCCTCTAGCGGCTGTCAATGAGACAGCCACTAGAGGCTGGATTAACCCTATTATAAACATAGCAGTTTCTCTGAAACTGCTATGTTTATAGAAGAAAAGGTTAATCCTAGCTGGACCTGGCACCCAGACCACTTCATTAAGCTGAAGGGGTCTGGGTGCCTATAGTGGTCCTTTAAGGCTGGTTCCATATGCAATGTACAAATCTACTACAAGGTTAGTCCAACTTAACCTTCAAAGCAGCTCTGTCACCACAGATTTTGCAAAGACCCCGTTCATGACATCGTCATTTGGGGTGCAGTGATCTGGGGTTGCAGTTATGGTGGCTTGTATTTACCTGATGCCGTCATCTACCGGGTAAGCCATTTTCTTTCTTAAGCTCTTGGCACTTCATCTACCAAATTAGTGCTGTATTCCCGTACATGCATTAGAGGACAACATCTCTGGAGGATCCTGCAAGAACGCAGGAGCCACTATAGATATTATATTGCAGTGGTAATATAGAGATAATATCCAAATATATTATCTCACAGAAGCTCCACCTTTTGTCAAGTTTGTCAAGGTATTATTGGTTCAGACCACAGATGAATATATAGGAATTACTCGATCTCAAAATGGTGCAGGGCTTATTTAAAAGTAGGATTTCTTTGGAATTATTATTTTAGCAGATTTGTTAAACAAATAGTCCTCAAAAGCACACTTTTCTAGAAATATACCTTCGTGAGCAAAGGTATAATAACAGCTTGTTTATAAGGAAACAATCTGACTGTTTAGCTAACTTTACTATCCAATTAGATTTGTGAATGTGCTTCCTTACGATGTAACATCCTGTAAGACAGGTAGATGAAATTCTTACCTGCTACTTGAAACTCCTACAGTTTTTAAACAATTAGGATTCCTAATCATTCTGTCCAATGAGCTGACAATCTGTTCAAAACGAGGTCTTTTTGAGCGATCACGTTGCCAGCAGTCAAGCATTAATAGATGCAGGGCACTGGGGCAGTCTGGGGGAGGTGGAAGGCGATATTCCTGATCCAGGGCATCCAAAACCTTGGAAGCACAGTTAGGAAAAATAGATTACATTGTAATCAAAGGATAGACTGATGTTACCGGATTGCTATGTACATTCCAACACACCTCTTGGTTGCTCATGTCCCAGTAGGGTCGCTCGCCATACGAAGTCACTTCCCACATAACAATTCCATAACTCCACACATCACTCGCACTGGAGAATTTGTGATGTTTATGGGCTTCAGGAGACATCCAACGTAAGGATTGTCTCCCACCCTGAAACAAAGATAGATGTCAACAACAGGACATTTACATTTCAAGACCCAGATGTTTTTTTTATGACCAATGCTCTCTGTTAGCCAATAATTTGGAATTATTGGTGTTCCATTAACCCCTTAAAGACCAAACCTCTGGAATAAAAGGGAATCATGACATGTCACACATGTCATGTGTCCTTAAGGGGTTAAACATTTTGGGGCTGAATTCTAGTATTCTATGAAATTATTTTACCAAGTTCTATTTAAATATATCCATTGAACTAGCACAGATTTACAATAAAAAATTTGGTTCTAGCTTTCTGTAAAATAATTTGAGGTGACTGGAAGGATTTAGGATACTATGGTGATGTGATATTTGGAGTGCAACGAAATATAAATCTCTAGTTTAGGATATAAAAAGACTGAATGAAACAAGCCTGAAGCTAGTCTCGGTCACATAGAGCAATGTCTGGTTTTCAGACAGAAGTAGGTGACAAAAACACATATTAAGAGCAATGACATTTTGTGATCCATCAAGTGCTTCAACTGAACAGTGAAAAATTTTACATTTGTTGAACTAGATTTATGTAGCCTTAAAGCCCTTTTAATATTGTATATATCTCACTTGTTACCTTCCATAACATAAAACTAAAGTATAGCATATCTGTCAATAAGCTAAATGAATTAGAGAAAAAAAGATGAATTTCAACATCATATATTTTATTTAGAACAATTTCTCTGAGCAATAGCATAGGACGTCATGACGTCATTATTGATTATTTTGAGTTACATGACATGGGGCATGTATGCACCTTATCTTGATGCTCTGTTTTTATCTCAGTTTATCTCTTTCTCTCGCTCTCTTTCTCAAACTTGCATGATTACCCCATCTTAGCTTCATGGTAATCAGATGGGAAAAAATCTGAAATGTTTCCATACCCCTTAATTTATTATATTTTATACATTTCTATTTGTATTGTTTATTACTCATGTTAAAAGTGCATGGCTTGGTGTAAGAGTTACCACATCTCCAGGTCCACGAAGTCCAGACAGTTTACACACCAGCTGTCCATTCACCAAGACACTCTGAGCAGCCAGATTACGATGAGTATAATTTCTATCCGAAAGATAACGCATACCAGATGCTACACCACGTAGCATGGAGACCATCTGCAAAGCCGAGAGGCCACCCTCACATTGCTGCATGACACAAGAAAGAACACTCAGAGACTGAATGAACAGAATAATTACAATACAAACATGCTGAACATGGACAGTGATATTGACAATATATCCAAGACTGTTTGCCATATAGTTATGTAGTAAGCTAGTTTGAATAAAGACTCAACACCATCACATTTAACCTTTAAACACATATTTATATGTTGATGATCCAAAAGAAGGCCAAAAAAACAAAAGTGAAGACCTATTTTTGCAACAAAAAGGGAAAACATCCTTCGATGGCCTCAATAATGGCAGTATGGTTCCATGCATTTTATACCTTTTAATATTTGGTTTTTAAAATAATGAATAAATAAAAAATAAAAAAACACATTCAGACCCTTTTTAAAAAAAATCTACAGAATCTGATAAGATTACATTTTTGTGAAAATAATTCCACAGAAGCAGAAGCCAAATTATCAAAAACTCAACAGTTTCAGTATTGTAAAATCTGCATGGCCCATAACTGTCTCTGGTCCAGCTATTCATAAAGAACCAGAAAGCTGGAATAAGACCACATAACTCTTTGACTTCAGTCATTAATGGGTGTGACACCCAAGAGAACATTAAAAACATTGACAATATAAGCTAAATCTGCAAAGAGGGGTACTGGTGGAAAGGGTATGGAGAAACTTGGATATGTAGGGTGGGAAGGATTCAATAAAGATTTCTAAGAAGAGTAGTGCAAAAAATGAGGAGCATTGTAAAAGTAAAGTAGACTGTTGAAGAGGTAGATAGTTGCAGAGAGATTGAAAGAAAAAAAAAGACTGTACAGAAGACTAGTTATAAACAAGTAAGGATACAGAGACCATAATAATTTGATCAGGAGTGTAAAAAATACTTGGGAAGAGACAGATGAACAAAAGAGGAGAGAGGAATTTGATAATCCATCAGGGTGAGAAGCCCAGGAACATGAGAGATTCAGAAAAATTTAGAAGAATTTGGAACGACAAGGCATGTAAAATTTAAATTTTTACAATGGGTTTAAAATATCTTTATGCTCTGCTCTGTGCACAAATTACATAAATAATTTTATTCCAGGATTTTAC